ATCCCCTTCACCCCCCTCTTTGAATCAGTACAATAAAAGGGGACAGCGCAGAGCAGCTGGCAGCCTGAACAATCCCATCTGTCTCAGGCTCAGCCGGGATAATTCCATCTGCCCTAGGCGATGTGCTGCCTCACCTGAAGAAATCTTTTGTTTCGTGTCTTTTTTTCTTTGTGCTTTGCACTCACCCTTGCGAGGGCTCCACTAAATTGCTTTCTGAGAGGAATTCAGCAATCAACCAGAAGATCGAAATAAAGGATCGGTCGCTCGACGCGACAACTATGCTTTCTTGAACGGGAAGGAGAGGCAGGATCTTACACTAAGATTTCTTATACTGATATTGCCATATCTCCATCAAGGTCACCCTGCTGACTCAATATAGTTGGTCTATCTCTTTATCTCCACCCCTGGATGGGTAGGTGCAGGGGTGGGATCTGATAGGGTTAACTACCAGTTCAGTCATTTACGAGGTTTGGTGATTTATGATGTGCTTCCCTGCATGCTGCCAGCGTGGGCCTGTAAATTGTCATCAGCATGCTGTGTGCAGAGAAGCAGCCTTTCAAAAAGCCCCTTTTCCCTGTTTTTTTTAACTGCAGCTGTGTCTCACAGGGCAGCTGAAGTTGAAAAAAAATCAGGAAATAAAGGTCAGGTAAGAACCTGGGTGGGCAGGTGGGCAAAAACATCAGCAGACATAGAACTGGTTCTATGTCTGCTGCTCTTCAGAGCTACCAGTTCTACAGAGGTGGACAGAACCAGTAGAAACCCACCCCTGGGTAGGTGGTGCTGTTCTGGTACTGACTTAGTGTTTGGGGCAGAGATGGTATTCAGCAGATTCTGACCAGTTCTGGAGAACCGGTAGTGGAAATTTTGAGTAGTTCAGAGAACCGGCAAACATGCCCACAGAACCGGTAGTAAAAAAAATTTATTCCCACCACTGGCTTGGGGGCTGTGAGTGTCTAGATGGAGAAGAATTGGTTTCTGTTTCTCCTAGGTCTATTAATTCTATCTCTGACTCTCAGTGGGGTAGCACTTTCCAGAACAGAAACTGTGTGCAATTTGGAGGGCTCTCTTCAATATGTGGTTCCTGCTTGAAGAGCAGGTGGCTGTTGTGACTAGAGGGGCCTTTGCATAGATCCATCTTGTACAGCAATTGTGCCCATTCCTGGATTGGGAGGCGTTGCTCATGGTCACTCCAGCCTAGGTCACTTCCCAGCTGGACTACCTCAATGTGCTCTATCCTTGAAGGTCACCCAAAAGTTACAACTGCTCCAGAATCCAGTGGTGTTGCAGTTTCAGGTGCCTCTTGCTTTGTCCATACCACATTATTTGTCATGTGAATTGCACTGAGTCCATTTTCTTTCTGTATGCAATACAAAGTGATGGTTATCACATTTAAAACATACATGGCACATGGCCAAGTTATTTGGAGGACTGCCTCCCCTTGAGAGTATCTGGCTGAGGGTAACTACCATTCCACCAGATTGAATAGGGTTAATAACTCAAAAAGCATTGGAAAATCTGAAAACTATGATCATAAAAGCCCAGTCCAGCACAGTATCATTGAAAAAGAAAAAGAAAAAATCCAAGAAGAAACTAGCATGACTGTACAAAGATCTCTCTGACAAATTGAAAGACAAAAAGGACAAGTACAAAAAAATGGAAAGAGGGACACACAACTACGGGAGAATATCGCAGATTGGCCAAATCTGCAAAGATGAAGTCAGGAAAGCAAAGGCTCAGAATGAACAAAGACTTGCAACAAAAGTCAAAGATAATTTTAAAGAAAGTTTATTTCAACATATAAATAACAAGAAAAAAGTCAAGGAAAAGTTGATCTAATAAAGAGAGAAGATGGCAAGGAAATAACAGGCAGCAGAGAGAAAGCAGAGCTGCTTAACTCATTCTTTGCATCAGTCTTTACACAAAAGACTAGAAATAAAAATTAAAATAAGCAAGAAAATGGTAAGAGAACAGCTATCTGACCTATACATTACTGGGACCTGATTGATTACATCCCATAGCTCTGAAAACACTATCTCAGAACCATTATACTGTATTTTTTTTTAAATCCTGGAACACAGGGGAACTATGTCTTTAAAAAAATTGAGGGGGGAACAGACCTAGGAAAATACAGAGCAATCAGCCTAACATCAATACCTGAGAAGATACTGAAAAAAATAATTAAAAAACAGATCTGTTACCATCTAGAAACAAATAAAGTTTTAACTAGTAGCCAGCACGGGTTTGTTAAAAACAAATAATTGCCATCCAATCTTATTTCATTCTTTGACAAAGTGACTAAATTAGAAGACCAGAAAAATGCTTTAGTTAGTAGGCCAGCAAAATAATACACTTGGACTTCAGCAAGGCATTTAACAAAGTAGATGACAATCTACTTCTTGATAAACTAGCAAATTGTGGGAGAGATGGCAACACAACCAGATGGATTTGTAACTGGCTGCAATATCTAAAAATCTGCCCATCAGTATTCCTAGCTAATCCTTCATTCTGCTTCTTAGTAGAATCATTTGTTTTCAAAACCCAACCACATCTGGTTTCTTCTATTTAAAACAAAGTGATATATGTACCTGTTGATGCTGCCATGAGTACCCTGTCATCATTGAGTCGTTCTGCAGCAGCCAGAGCATAGGCTGTGAGGGCCTTTGCAGTTTCTCATACTTTTTGAGTAAATAATTTGTGGCCTTCTTGATGCTGCTGTCTAGACTCTGGAAGTGAGGGGAGAGGGAAGAGAAGAGATCCATTAGGAATGTTTTAGGCATCTCTATCAAACAGCATTTCCCTGAGGTATGATACCCTGAGGTATCAAAAGGCCTTAAAACATGGTTTTGTCATTGGGCCTGGGGACCACAAATGGAGCAGATCAATGGAGCAGATCAAATGGCCTGATTTGACTTGGGGGTGGGGGTGGCTTATGGGTTTGTTATGTGGTGGATTTTTAAATGTTGTAAGCTGCCCAGAGTCAACAATTTGTGAGTTGGACAGCCATATACATCTGTCCAATAAATAATTGAAAAAACGTGATTCAGAAGTTGTGGGTGCTCCAACAATGGAAGTTTTAAAGAAGAGATGGGACAATCATTTGTCTGAAACGGTGTGGGGTTTCCTGCTTGAGAGGGAGTTGGACTAGAAGATCTCCCTTCCTAACTCTGTTCTTCTGCTAATTAATAAATAATTTTTTAAAATGTGCTGCCCAATTCCTGTCAGTATGTTTTACATGTTAATACTGCAAATTTAACCAAAATATGTGTTATTTTAAGTGCTATTGCTATTTTAAGGTTAAATGCAGGAAGAAATGCTATGGATAAATTTATTAGGAATGTCTTAAATAGGAGTTCCAGTAGAGAACTTCTGAAAAACCTGCAATACTGTGAGATCCACCTGCACAGATCTTTCTAAATCTGCCTTTGAGGAAGGCTGGTGAAAAATTATACTAAAGCAGTGAAAAGCTCTTTGATATTTAAAGGTCATTAACTAGTCTAAATATCTTGCTGGCTTAAAAGTATATGTGCAATTTCCTAATAATATCCTTATTGAATTGATTATTTATTTTGGTTTCATTTGATTTGAAATGAATAAAGTATAAACTACAGCAATGCTGTTTAGGCTACTTTGAAATACTAAAAGCTTTTTTTTTTTTAAACAAGTTTTATTTTCAAGACAAACAATACATAGATACACATAAAACAAAACATAAAAGCATAAAAAATCTCTTCTCTGAAAGTTGATTAGTCCCGGGTTAAAACTCTTGGTACAGACACAAATTCAAATTCATATTCATTTTACATACCATTTCATATCTTATTAACATTTTCAATTTTCTATATGTCTTCTCCTCTCCTTTAAATTTTTTCCATTTTATTTTATTTTATTTATCTCCTCTCAATTCATATCATAATATTTATTATTCTTTGTCTGTTCTATTCCAGCCAGCCCTTCATTTTCCTTCTTTAAAAAAAAGAAAAAACTTCTCCTGTACACTATATGGAGTATGATGCCTTTATCTCTTTCCCCTACATTTATAATACTTAATATAAAACACATGACATATATTGGGATTCTGTCTGGTACATTCTAAAATTATACTATATTATCAAAAATAATACAAATCTATTCATTAGTATTAATATTCATTCATATCTTAAACATTTAAGTCATTACTTTTCAATTAAATCACATACTTTTATGGGAGCCCTATTTTTCATAGTTATATATTATATCCCTCATCATATATTATAGCTCATTATTTCATTAAAAAGTACCTCCTTCTTCTACTTCAATTCTCATTTCACATGAAATTTCGCTAGTATACCATATTCTAATCATTAATATTAACAATCATTTATATCTTAAACATTTTATCCATTTCAATTAAATATCATGCCTTTATGGGAACACTTATGCTTTTCAAAGATTATTACCCCCCCCCCCACATCACAATCTTAAATCATGTTTCGTTACAGTACTCCCTTTTCTTAACCAAAAATTTCACTAATTTATGTTAAATATTTTATCACATTTTAGGTTACACATTGTTTCTAATTTTCTATGTTTACTTCTAAATACAAGTATAAAAATGCAGTCTTATGTATCTTTCTAGAATCCCTTTAACCATAAAGCTTATCCATTATCTCTAAAAAAAAATTGCTTCTTAACATCTTGCTCCCCACCATTAGGACTTCTCATCCCTTCCTTTCTTTCTTGTTTCTTCTTCTCCTTATCCTCTTTAATCCCTTGTCTCTCCACCTCCCTTTTATTCTGCTTTCCCCCTTTCTGTTGTTTCTTAACATAATGTCCCCTTTTCACCTTATTCTTCTCTTTTTGGGCTATTTTTCCAGATCTTAAAGACCTTTTCCCCTTTTTCTCTTGCTTTTTCTCTTCTCCAGTCAAAGTAATTTGTTCATCAGATGGCTTCTCCTTCTTCTTTGTCCCCATCATCCTCATTCTGCTTCACATAAATATAAACCGCCATTTCCAAGTATTGAAAAATAGTGTCAAGACCATCTTCCCCTCCTTGTTTTTCTCTTTCAAATTTTTGATATATAAGTTCCAATTCATCCATAGATGATGCCATTGTGTAGAGAAAATTTTTTCCAAACAACCACCCAGATGATTTAATCAGAAGTAATTTCCAAAGGTTCCAAAGTCACCAAACAATCCAAACAGACTATTTCTTTTAGATACCTTCTTCTTCACTTTCTCTTTCTGGGGTTAAAGTAATCACAAATCCTTTTCAAATATATTTTTTTGAAGTTTTTAAACTCTTTGTAATTCTAGGCAATCTTCTCCTTATTCAAATTTTGCTCTAATTCTTTTTTTTCACTCTCCCTTCCCACTCACAGCCAAAAAGGTTTTTTTTTTCCGCTATCACTTTAGGAAGGAGAGTAGAACAAAGAAAAAACTTTCCCCTTTAGAATATTCGCAGCTTAAAACTCTCACAGGGAACAATATATACTTAGCAGCCTTCAAGGTTCCAGGTCACTTTCTCCCGTCTTGTCCCAGTTAGAAGCAACTTTCACTTTTCTTTCAGCTTCCTCCCTCCTGCACCTGCTTGTCCGGCTGCAGCTTTCTTCGTGGCAGCCATTGCTGACTGCCGTTCATCCGCCTCGGGAAAAGGGGGTTTAGCCGGCTGGGGAGGGGGTTTGCGACACCCCCAAACCCCTTGCCGGATCCCCCCTGTCTTCAGCTGCCTCTGCGGGGCAGCTATATCCCCCAGATCCAAATGGATCGGGGGAACCTTGACGGTGAACGCAGCAGGGATCGCGCGGTCGCGAATCCCCGCCGCCGCCGAAAGGTTGCAAACCGGAAGTCCGCCTGAAATACTAAAAGCTTTTAATACTGAACCTGGGGTCAAGAAGGTGGGAAAATGGAATACTATGATAAAAAAAAAATACTATGTGGAGAGCTGTAATCTTATTTTGGCCCGCTCATACCATTTCCCATCACAACATCACGTACGTTGACATAGTCATTGCAGATTGTTTTGGATTCCAACAACGCAACCAGAATGAACGCTGTTAAAGATACTTCTGGTTCAGCACCTTGAATTCCTCCCTAGAAGGAAATGGGGGATGGGGGGCACAGGGAAGAGAGATAAAATATAATTTAAAAAACAAAAACAATGCTAATGAACAAAAGCTATGTAATACATAGCAAGTACCTGGAGTAGGAAAAAGTGAAGGTTTTTTTATATGTCGTGGCTGCCATCTAGTGGCCATCCATATTTGTCCATCTTGAAGATGCAGTGTTGAAGGGTTGGAGTTTGAGGAACCATTTAACTTTGGTTACATGGGAGCTATAACCTATCCTAAGAAAATTACATGAGAAGAGAAAATAAGAACAAGGGAATTGAATTTTCTGCTAGATAGTCTATAAAAGAACAAGAAATAGTTCTTTTATTTAATGTTTTAATTATTTGCTTTAAGCAGGACATGGCCTAGCTCTAGGCAATATCAAGGAGTGTCATGTTCTGACACTCCCCTGTGCAGGCCAACATGCCCTATATTGCCTATGTACAGCATCTTCAAGTAGGATATTAGGAAGACCAATGTTATCTCAACTACAGAGAGACTACATTGCAGATGGAAGCATGAAGATAAGTACTCAGGAAGTGTTGAATGGACCATCTTGTACCAGGGCATGGAGGCTGTACAGATTTGCCCCTAAATTTCTTCAGTAGAACCTCATCTGCTATTGTTCATATGTTGTTTCTTCTCCACTACAGGCTTTCTTGTCTTTGAAGCAGATTCCATCTTCAAGTTCCTCCATCAGATCTATTCTCTCATTAAGTCAAATCTTACCAAGGCTACCCTTATTGTCCTTTGTTTCTCTCCTGCTGGTGATATCCCAATCCCATTTTTTTAAATATATATGTACACATTTGACTGATTGCTACATAATCTCTGAAAAGCTACAAAACTTTTGTAGTTTTGCTTATTACCTAGTGCTATAAATGGTTTTCATTATAGAGATATAATAATAGATATAATAGATATAATAATTCACCCTCATGTCCTGTCTGAATTCCTGTACAGCTCTTGACTGGCCAAGATTATTAGAGAAGAAGCTAGAACTTTGTACAGTGCATTTTTTTCTTTAATACCTGGGCTTGGATTGTTTGCAGTTAAGAACTTTAAAAAAAGGAAGGAGGGAGGGAGGGAGGGAGAGAGGAAGGGAGGGAGGGAGGAAGGAAGGGAGGGAGGGAGGGAGGAAGGAAGGAAGGAAGGAAGGAAGGAAGGAAGGAAGGAAGGAAGGAAGGAAGGAAGGAAGGAAGGAAGGAAGGAAGACCATTACCAGCATTTCTCCATGGATCACAGGGACATTTTCTTTGAACACTCTATCTGGTTGTTGTCTGTTCAGAATCAGGCACCTCACACCTCCACAAATGATTTCATGGCTAATGTCTTTTACTATTTTGGCAGCTATGGCAAAGACTTTTACAACATATGCTGTTAGCCTATAAAGAAAGTAATGCATTAACCAACCACATTTCAATGAAGATCTTAATACAAGTAGTAGAATACAAGTAGTTGCTTGCTTGATTTTGTAAGCCAAATATGGCTAGGTTGCTGCTAGCTAAGAGGGAGAGGGGAAAAGAGGCTTGTGCAGGGTCACCACACCACTACATAATGGCACAACAAGAGTAGAAGCTGTGCATGAGTCTAGGGCAGTGTTGGCAAATATTTTAGAGACCGAGCGCTCAAACTGCAACCCAAAACCCACTTAATTATTGCAAAGTGCCAACACGGCAACTTAACCTGAATAATGAGGTTTACTACCTAAAATAACGATAAACAAGGCAGAGTTCAGCCTCCCTCTCTTTCTCTCTCTCTGTCTCTTTTCCCCTCTCTCTTTTCCTCCCTCCCTCTCTCTCTGTCTCTATCCCCCTCTTTCTTCCCCCTCTTTCCCTCCCTCTGTCTCTATCTCTCTCCCTCTCCCTCCCTCCCTCCCTCCCTCCCTTTCTCTATCCCCCTCTCTCTTCCCCCCTTTCCTCCCTCTCGCTGTCTCTCTCTCTCTCTCTTTCCCTCCCTCCCCCCCTCTCTCTCTGTCTCTATCCCACTCTCTCTTTCCCCCCTCTCTGTTTCTCTCTTTCTCTTTCCCTCCCTTTCTCTCTCTTTCCCTCACCTCCCTCTCCCCCCACTCTCCTTCCTCTGGGGCAGCAGCCAGGCCATTGGAGGCAGCGATAGTAAATGTACCACGACAAAGGTGGAATGTTGTTTCGCACAAAGGCAAGTGCAGGGGCGCTTCGCTCCCACACCAAGGCTCCAGCCATTGCCACCACTGTGAAAGGGCAACAGCTGCCACGATTCCCTGCAAATGATGGTGAGAAATGTGACGGAGCTGGGATGGGGTGACAGCGTGTGTGCCCACAGAGAGGACTCTGAGTCCTACCTCTGGCATGTGTGCCATAGGTTCACCACCACTGGTCTAGGACAAAGTTAGTGTTATGATGAGAAATAATCAAGATTAAAATTGGTCATCCTCATTTCTCCTTCAACCATGGAAAGGAAAAGAAATTCAGCTAACCAAGGACTCAAGGCCATATCAAGAGATATAGGGTATTAAATCAGTTTAAGAGGAATCACAATGTTGTTATAACACAACAGTTCACTGCACAGAAACAAGAGCTTTAGAAGAAATGCAGGGTAAGAGTTAAGAGAATGAGATTTCCTTAATTCAGTGTCAGGTCCACTTGTGTCAGGTCCACCGTGCCCTACCATTCTGTTGAAAGGCGGGGCAGGGGCAGGTGGGGGTGGGTGGGGCTTGCTGGTATTTTTGCATCTTTTTGCTTTTGCTATAAATTTTTGGAAATTGGAGAGGGGGATTGTCTTTGGAATCAGAGTGGACTCCCTCCCAGCTAGTTCCAGCCATGTTTCAAGGCCATTGTGCCTTGAACTGTTGTCTGCCTAGCATCTCAATATTCTGAAAACAACCTTACAGCATCACATTGGCTGCCAGTGAACTGGACAGCGGGGCTGGGTTTGGGGAAACAGAAAAATAGCTTTGTGTTTCATGCAGGAGTTTTCAGATTCCATCTGACTTTACTGCAGCCACGTTCTCTCAGCAAGTTCTTTTGAGTCTAGACGTAGGTGGGCCAAAACCTCCCTATTGTTCGAGTTGAGGTGGAGATGTTCAGTGTGTGGGTGTCTCAGGAATTGGTGTCTTCTTGCTCCCTGATATTATGAAACAAGGATCAATGATTTCATCCACAAAGGAACTGGAGGCTGTAAGGATCTGATGAGGAGGAACATCTCCACCTCAACTCGAACAATAGGGAGGTTTTGGCCCACCTATGTCTGGAGAGGGCTTGTCATTTATATTTGCCCGCAGGGCAGACAAAACCTCACCTTCTCCAAATGTTGCTGTCTATTGTTGGGGAAGAGAAGAAAGGCCAAGCCTTTTCCAACAATTCCCACTCCTATAACCTCCAGATAAGCAGAAGATTGGGCTGTGGGGGTGGGTGGGTGGGGAGCCCCTAGGACCTGGGATCTAAGCACATCATGGACTGGATCCGGCCTGTGGACCTTAAGGTTGACACCCCTGCTCTATATGGGTTAGTAATAGTCAGTGAAACTGAGTTCTTTCAGAGGGTAGATTACCACTGAAGTAGGATAATTATCTATTCAGAGAGCCACTTTGGTATAGTGCAGAAGGTGCTGGCCTAGAAAAAAGGAGATCATGCACTCTAGGCCTCCCTTAGACATAAAAGTCAGCTGGGTGACTTTGGGCTAGTCAACCTCTCTCAGCCCAATTCACCTCATGGGGCTGCTGTTGTGGGGGGAAATAAATGGCAGGAGTATTAAGTTTGTTCACTGCCTTGAGTTGACCCCCCCAAAAATCTAGTAATAATAACAGCAATAACAATTCAATCTCAGGGAATCAATATTTCAAGTGCTTTCACTATCTTGAAGCAGGAGATTCTGATTCGTATTTTAAGGGGGAAAACAATACAACTCATTGATACTAAATGCTAGACATGAGAAGACAATAGGGTGACATATTATATGGGTAAGCCATTATCAGAAAAGAGTATTTTGTCAAGGACTGAAGCACAGCCTTATCTTATTCTGGCTTCTTCCTATCCCGGTTTGAAGCTCCGCTTAGCTGCCAAAAATGTTTTCACTTTTTTTTCCTTTCCCTTTATAAATCCACTGCTTTCTTATTCTTTCATAAAAATTCTTAAAATATCCATCCTGGGGTACCTTTTAATTAATTGTTGCGCCAAGTTGTCCCGGTTCTTATGTTGTCCACCTCTTTCTTCTCTCCTGCACAAATCTTAGTCCAGCTAAGTCCTCCTCTTCAGGGTGGCCATTTTAGACCACTGCTCGGTCGTCTTTGGGAGGGAAAATTGCCAAGCCCAGGGAAGGGGAATGCGGCTCCCCTCAACCTGGCTGGTGGCTTCCCCTTACTCTGCCGCCCCTCCGAGGCAGCTTCAGCCACAATCACAATGATTGGGGCTCTCCAATGAGAGAGCACAGACCGAAGCTGCGGACAGTCTCAGTCCCCACTCTGTCAACGAGGAGGACTTAACCCAGAAGTCTTGTTTTTCTTTTTCATGGTACTGTAAGGTCTTACCTTTCCAATCTTCCCAAGAAAGCAGGACTCTTGAAACTGAAGTTTGTTCCAGAAGGAGCTTTTATTGAAAGGCTTCTGATAGCAAAAGGTCTAGGCAGCAACTAAATTTTCCCATTTAAAAAAAGCAATTTAAAGCAGTGCAAACAAAACCCCTCCCACAGTACAGCAATGCAGTTAATAGAAACAGAAACTCACAGCACAGCAATGCAGGAAACAGAAACTTCATATAGATATCTCTCCAATCCTCCCCCTCCCCCTAAAATGCCAGCATCCCAATAGAAATATAGGGGATCTGACAGGTACTGTGCTGGACTGGGCTTTTAGGATCATGTTTTTCAAAGTTTCCCAAGCTTCTTGAGTTGTTTTCCATTTTAGGATTTTCATCCAAGGAATCTTTCCCAAGTTCTTTCTGAGTTTATTAAAATCAGTTCTTTTAAATTCTAAGACTCTTGTATTATTATGTTCTATTGCTTGTGTTTGTGTGGTGTTGAATTCCAGTATGAATTCATAGTCACTCTCACCCAAGGTTCCTGGAGTTTCAACTCCCTCTATCATTACTTCTCTGTTCCTGAGAATTAAGTCCATTATGGCTGTCCCTCTAGTTCCCTCCTCTACCTTCTGGACAATAAAGTTGTCACATAGGTTGGTCAGGAACAGAGGTGGTATTCAACCAGTTTTCACCAGCTTGGGCAAACCGGTAGTGGTGATTTGGCATGGGTCGCTGAACCGGTGGTGACTCCTGGCTGGCCACACCCCCGAACCGGGTCGCCTGGTCGCCCGGTCACCCGCTTGTCCCGGTCACTCTCCTAGCTTTACCCTACCGCGTGGTGGCCATGGTACAGCTTGGGCAGATGTCCCAGAGCTGCTGTACATGCGCACTGCATGTGCAGCCACTACACATGCAGTGCGCATGTGCAACAGCCCTGGGACATCTGCCTGCCTGGCCGCCCTCCCGGAGCAAATTTTCTTCCTTCTGCCTGGCCAGCCAGCAGGTGGGTGGGTGGATGTCCCGGGGCTTCTCGCCCCCTTGTTGCGATATGCCTGCAGCAGCCCCTCAGGCCGGCTGAGCCCGGAGCTGCCATTCCCAGGCTTCTGCTCACCCGTGCTTGGTCGCCGCCTCTTCACCTTGCCTGAAGCATCTGGTCCTGCCCTTCACCCTTCCCTCCCTCGCCTGGCCTGAGAAGGTAAGGGCGATGGCAAGGGATAGCAAAGCGGCCAGGTTCCTATCTTCCCCTCTCTCTCCCTCACTCTCTCTCTCTGTCTCTGTCTCTCTGTCTCTCTCTGTCTCTCTCTGTCTCTGTCTCTGCCTCTCTCTGTCTCTCTCTCTCTCTCTGTCTCTCTCTGTCTCTCTCTGTCTGTCTCTGTCTCTCTGTCTCTCTCTGTCTCTCTCTCTGTCTGTCTGTCTGTCTCTCTCTCTGTCTCTGTCTCTGTCTCTGTCTCTCTCTCTCTCTCTCTCTCCCACAAAGCTGTGGCTGGGCTTTCCTTGGTGCTCTTTGCTACTTTCATTTCTTCTTTTTGGAATCTAGACTGGCTGAACAAGGATTGCCAGCCGCGCTGGAACCATCCTTTCAGGCGAACCTTCACTTCCTCGTATGTGCACGCCACCCTCCTGGACCCGCCACGACTGCCAGTCGTGAGAGGAGGAGGAGAAGGGTCACCCAAAGGCACTGGCTGAACAAGGATCGCCAGCCACACTGGAAGTGTCCCTTCAGGTGATCCTTCACCCCTCCCCCTCCTCTCACGATTGGCGGCCATGGAGGGGCCAGGAGGGTGGCATGCATACACGAGGAGGAGGAGAAGGAGGAGGAGAAGGATTGCCCACGGCTGGCAATGCTTGTTCAGCTAGTCTGGATTTCAAAAAGAAGAAATGAAAGTAGCGAAGAGCGCTTGGCCCAGCCACAGCTTTGAAAGAGACAGAGTGAGACACACACACACACACA